AGGTTAAGTAGATATTATATTAGACTAATGGTGCAGGGCAACAGCAAGGGTTAATTTATTTCCAAAAGCCCGTTTTGTGACAAAGTTCCCTTAAGGCCCACTGTGTCTGCTACAGGCAAGCAGCAAGCAGACACACAGGCTAGGAAATTAAAGACATGTACCACACTGTTCCATAACATGAGATAAAGTGGTACCAGGTCAGAGCGCCCAACTGCAGAGCCTTGGGATTTCTGGTTTTGGGAAACAGACCAAATTAGGATGTGTGCACATGATGGGTTTGTGAAACAAAGGACTATGCTAACAGGACAGAACGTGGACAGTATGACAACCACAGAAAGACCAATTAGCAATGCTCAATAATGAAGAGTCATCACAGAAATAAAAAAAAGATACAAAAGGAAGAATTTCAGAGCAGCAGAGGGTCCCCAAGAGAGAAACCAAAGGCCACTACAAACCCATCCTCACCCAAACCGCTGCGGCGGGAAGGGGGTGTGAAATGGGACTCAGTCTCCAACCTCCTGGCTGTTGACATCTGACATTCAAGATAGAACCTCAGAGTGAAGTTTGCATACTGTCCAGACTTACTCCAACTCTGTGAACCCTGGGAATGGTAGGTATATAGAATTGTTTGCATTATTCTTATCTGCTGTCACCGTGTAGCAACACATTTAACTATTATTGAATGGAGAGGTTGTGGTCAGTCTGAGGGTTTGGGTCTGCCCAGAACAAGATATCTGGGTCATAAATCTCTGCCAATACCTACCTCTTACTGTACCTCTCTGCAAGCAAACCTTCCCTCGCAAACTTTCTGTAGGCTGGCCTTTTCCTTTATAACCTGCTTCCTCTCACCAACCTTACAGTGAAGGAAGATGAGAAAATTTCCAGGCAAACTCCATAGCAAACATGAAGAATTAAACTTTGCTCAGGTGGTTTCCCTCCCTCCCTCTCTCTCCTCCCCTTTCTTTGTCATCTTTCTTTCATCCATGCCTTTATTTGTTTAGGTCTGTAGAAAACCAATAGAGAGCACAGCAAGAAGAAAATGATTATGAGTGCACCCAGGACAACTTGAACTTCTCAAAGAGTCTGACTAGATATAGTCAGGATTCAAACACAGACTCTGGGAAATGACTGATTTATAGCCTTAATTTATAAAGTGCCTTAGCTGAACTAAATTATACTTTTCTCTAGCCTGACGTGTCACTCCCCCTAAGACAGAACAGGAAAATTCCTTCATTGTGTTCCCTCCCTGCTATGGATTTGAAGCAATTGAACCACTTTGGATTAGCTTCAGCATTTTCTGAAATGCTAGTTACATGGCGATGTATTATAACCAGGTCGTGCATGCACTGCAGTAACCCCCCACCCATTGTGCCCACATACATACATTTCTCCAATCTGTGTAGGCATGTTGAGGGGGAACTGCTAGCTGTAGCTGGCTTAATATAGTCCTGCAGGAATCCACTGGCAACCCTACTATTAGTGTTTTAGAAACTGCAGTCCAGTAAAAGTGTCTGACCACTTTTCCTAAACATATCTATTACCCATATTTATTGCATTGTGTAGCGTATATGAAAACTCAATGATCCTTTGAGATGAAAGGGATGAGGAAAAGCATTTCCTAATTGGTACCTATAAAAAATGAACAGGTTTAAAGCATTTAAGACTCCAGTTGAGCAAAGCTCTTCAGCATATGCTTCAAGGTTAGCATATAGGTCCCACTAACCTAAAAGGTCTAATCCAAGGCCCGCTGAACTTCATGGGAGCCTTCCCACTGACTTTGTTGAGCTTTGAATCAATTGCTCAGTGTGTTCCTCCTCCCTTTTCCCCTAATGTTTGAGTTGCGGAATGGAGGATGGTGCAACAAGACGCATGCTGAATTTTGATAAAGATATGACAAAGATTTTCAAAAGTTAGATAAGTAGGAAGGAGCAGAGTCTACAGTTTTAAATATAATTTTTTATTCCCACAACCTCCATTTTTTCAGGTGCCCAACTTGAGACACCTTGAAGTAACTTGGTTTTCTACAGGGAGGTCATAAGTAGGTATCTGATTTTCAGTACATATTTGGGCTTCCAAAAAATCAGTATTCACTAAAAAAAAAGTAGGCCAAGCAGTGCCTTGAAGTGGCAGTTGATAACTTTGTATCTATTCTCTTGAGAATCACTCATTCAGAAGAGTAACAGAGAAGGAACTCTAAGGTTCAGCTGGAAGGAAGAGGACGAGGCTATTGATGAGCTTAAAACCATCTCAAGATGTAGAGACAACAAAAGCTAGACTGGAAGAGTCAAAGAAGAGGATAAAATCTTGACAATAATGAATTGACAAAATGCTTAAGCACTAGCAGAACTAAAAGAAACTCTTCCCTCAAGCCCCACCACTAGGACTATATAAAACAATACTGGACAAAGCAGTGAAAGCCAGTCTCCTGCTGACATAAATGGTGCATTAGGCTTTGAAGGGAAGTTTTCTTCTGTTGTTAATTTTGTTCTACAATTTAATGCTGTTCTCCCTTCCCCACCCTCTACCTGAGGTAACTGGGAAAGACCCTCCAATCCTCTTCACAAACAAACTTCATCTCTTTAAAAATGATCCAGCTATGATTCCGATGCAGAGGTTTAATTAAGAAACATCGAACACATATGTTGTTATCAGTGTGAACTAGAAATGACAGCAGATGTAAAAAGCTACTAGTTAATAGCATGCCATTTAGTCAATAACTACAAGAGAATACTGTGCTGATCAGTAAGGCCTAATTCTTCAGAAGTGCTGAGCACCTAACACTCCAGTTGGCATCAGTGGGAGTTTTAGATGTTCATCACCTGTGAGAATCAAGTACTAATTGTCTACGAAATACATATTCTCTGTCTAAAAAAACTTGGACATCTGCTACATATTATAACTAAAGAATCAGAGCACACAAGCCAGCGAGTGGGAATGCTGGATTGACCTACCCTGCTTAAGAAAAAAAAAAAAAACCCACAGGAATGCTGTGTTCTTTTTGGAGCCCTCTTTTTGAGACCATAGCTTGGATTCTCCATGACTTAGTCCACCTGCAGCAATGGGAATAACCAACCCAAGGATGTCTAAACACAAAAAAACAGAGCCGTGTGTCACTAGAGAATGACAGCCCAGGATACATTTGGTAATTGTAGATTTTGCCTCCCTCTCAGCTTTCCCACTCATCTCTTTGCCTGGATTTCTGCGATGTTGTGATCAGTAGGGTGAGGAAGGAATCTCTAGGATTAGAGTGCTAATCTGGAGACTTGGTTTAAATTCCTGGCTGTACCATAGATTTTCTTTGCGAGTTTCAGCAGATTCTCTAGGGACAGATCCACAGAAGGACTAAGGTATTGTAGCATCTACTTTTAGGTGGCAAGTCTCCCTATGCAATGCACAGGGAGTTAGGTGCCTTAGAATAGGATCCACAAAAAAAACAGCATGCTAAGTGGGCAGGTACCTAAACTGGCTCACTGGAAATGCTGAAGAGAAGGGAGTTAGTTGCCTACAGATGTGTCTATACTGCAGCTCTCACAGATGCACTAAACTAGCTTTAAAATAGCTACTTCAGGTACCAACAGGAGTGAAGCCACAGCAGCACACACCAACTACTTGAGTATTTATCCAATTTTCTGAGTGACATTTGCAGTACATGCTGAGATCCTTGCTGCCACAGTTATGCAGCTCACAGTATTCAAGCTACATAGTTTAACGCTAGCTCAGGTATGACTACACTACACTCACAAGTGTATGTTTGTGATTAGTACAGCCATACCTTAGATTACAGCTGCAGGGACGTGTCTATCTCCACTTCAGATTTACAGCCACAAGTCATCTTCTGAATTGGCACCTAAAGGCATATCTACATGACAATACACTGCCATGTAAAGATACCTTGAAGCTGTGTTACATTACCTGGGCTAATTAACCCTAATTTATTATTCCAGACAGCATGCCACACTAACATGGCCATACTGTTTCTAACACTTTAGCTCAGGTATCTCCATATGACATGTCACTGACAGTGCCTAGATGGAGCCCCTGTAACCTGTTGTCAATGAGAATGGAACCCAAGACCTTCTAAATCCAAATACAGTAAAAGATGTGTTATCCAGCATCCATGGGGAATGGGGAGCGCCGGTTAATCAAATATGCCAGGTATCTGAAAGGCGTCTTTGCCTGTTCCAGCCACCGCCCCTCCCGCTGTGTCGAGTGAGCCAGGGCTTCCACTCCCTGGCATCAGTGTGGCGGGGGACAGGGAGGGAGGCCCCCATGCAGGCTGCTTTGCCCCAGGTCGTGGTCCAAAGTCAGTGAAGTGGGATTTGGTGAAACCGGAAGTGCCATGGTGGGACTTCCCGTCTCACTTTTGCCGCGTCAATCGGCATGCCGGTTAATAGAGCATACTGGTTAATAAAGTGCTGGATAACACAGCTTTTACTGTATATGATAGAAGCCTGCCCAAGCAAGGAGACCCAAGTCTGAGGCTGAGTTTGGTGCAGATGTGGCTAACAATGAATGCCCCAAACTGCTTTTAGGAGTGGACAGAGTCCCACACTGAGTGCCTGCAGCTACATACCCTTTTATGAAAAGACTTTCTATTGAGATATTTATGGTTCATTCTTTTTGCACAAGAAAACACATTCTTGGAACAGTTCCCACAGACTTTTGTATTATGCTATCATTGTCCATCCACCTTCCAGGCATGTTGGCTCCTGTTTCATGCTGAATTGCCTGCCATTGCCACAAAGAGCTGTTGCGGTGGCAGTGCAAAAGGACATACCACACTTCAGAACTGGCCCAAATATCAAAAGCCCTCCATTTGCCCAGCCTCCAAAAATACTACCTGTTTTCCCCACTTTCGCCTGAATGTTACATGATTCCCAAGAATCGGTGCGAAGAGCATATGCCTGCCGTGACCCCTACTTTGTGATGCTTACCTGACCCTTCCCCTTACCTGTTGAGCATGTTGGACTGGTATATCCTTTTTTCCTGGGTGTTATAACAGCTGCTCTTGGGCTCAGGGATGAAGCTGTGTTCAGACAGCATGTCAGAGGCAGCCGTGGTGATTATGGCTATCCCATCCCTCACTCTGGCAGGAAGACCATAGTCCCACTCATCATATGAGACAGAGATGAGCCCAGTGGGGAACTCAGATGGCACTGTGTCTGTATCGCCTGCCACCAGGCTGGGCACGATCCATGTGTAACCATAGCCTGTCAGACCCACAGAGTTGGCTACCTCAAAGATATAAGTTGCCTCTTCCTTGGTGCAGTAGAGGAGGATAACAGGACTCTGTAGCTTCTTGAGCTGGTTCTGGATCTTTGAGTCCCCATCATCTAGGGACATATCCAGCAGGAGAACCTCCTCCAGCTCCCAGCCCACAAAGCTGTGCTCAATGGTGCTGCGAATCTTGTTGACAAAGTCCTGGTAGCCAGGGAAGTAGGTGGTGACAATGGAAAAGATATACCAGTCATATTCTTCCATAATGTTGAGCATGACAGAGGCTTGCTGTTCTATTGATGGGCCAAACTGGAAGAACATGGATGATTCATCCTATAAGAGAATCAAAAGAAGAGAGAGAAAACAAAAACAGGTCAAAATAAATAAAAATCAGAGTCCCTAGCCAATTCCAGTGAGGAAGGAGAAAAGACTAGGTTGCACCCCTTCACTTTGGAGTTTGGGCTTGGCTCAAGGCTTCTTAACAGAGCTAGGCAAATGGGAAGAAAATAAATCTTTTTTATGGTGCTTTTTCTTCTTTTCTTTTTAGCAGTGGCTGTTTAAATCTGCTCAGAGGTCTGGAAGGTTAGAAGCAAATCTGGCATAGAGGAATGTATGGCATGTAAATGAGGTGGTCAAAATGTAGAGAAAATGCAGATTATTCCATAATTAAAGAGATTAATGGACTTAATTTTGTTTATCATAACATCGTATTTGACATAAACAGAGATACACTACAGTGTGCAAAACTATAAGTGTTTTGGCAGGGGTTCGGGATACTCGCAGTAAGTGACACTCGGATATACAAAATTATTGCCAAAAAGCAGATATATCACCATTTTGCATAGCAAATTTTGTTTACACTTTGTTTTAAAGGAAAGCTTTTAATATTTCTATTGGCATAATTTTTCATATCCTTCCATCAAAATCATTACAATACTGTTATCAACATGCTCATATTTCATAGTTTCATAGTTTCTAGGGTCGGAAGGGACCTGGGCAGATCATCTAATCCGACCCCCTGCCATGGCAGGAAAGAGCACTGGGGGTCAAATGACCCCAGCAAGATGGTCATCTAACCTCCTCTTAAAAACCCCCAGGGTGGGAGCCTGCACCACCTCACTTGGAAGCTGGTTCCAGACCCTAGCCGCCCTGACCGTGAAGTAGCGCCTCCTGATGTCCAACTTAAACCTTCCCTCCGCCAGCTTGTGACCGTTATTCCTGGTCACTCCTGGCGGCGCTCGGGGGAACAGGGACTCCCCCAGTGCCTGTTGATCCCCCCGACTAGTTTATAGCAGGCCACAAGATCCCCCCTCAGCCTTCTCTTCTGGAGGCTGAACAGGTTCAGGTCCCGTAACCTTTCCTCATAGGACCTACCCTGCTGTCCCTTGATCATGCGAGTGGCCCTCCTCTGGACCCTCTCAATGCTGTCCACATCCCTCTTAAAGTGCGGCCCCCAGAACTGGACGCAGTACTCCAGCTGCGGCCTGACCAGTGCCGCATAGAGGGGGAGGATCACCTCCTTGGTCCTGCTTGAAATGCATCTGTGGATGCA